TAGGAGGCTAAAAGCTGTCTCAGTTTAGAAAAATATCATCCATGATGAAAAACTCGAATAATATCCACGTGATAAGTAAGTCAAATAAATAGGTTGCATTAAAGTTTTCTAAAATGAAAGAATGGTCCAACCCTCTAAACTCTCTATATGTGATGATTTTGATGTAGACCATGACGTTATCGGCAATAACAAACCCTTTGGTCATTTAGTTCACAACATAACAAATTTATAATTAATAACACTAGTTGCAATCTTACATTTAATATCCCTATGCAAATTAAGAATTGGTTGAATGACTAGATACGATTGGTTATGAAAGATAAGAATCATCGTAAATGACTATAGAGAAAAACATATGTTTCAGTAAACATTAATGAATAAAACTTAAAAGACATGATTCAACAATGAACAAGATAACATAACGGTCATAAGCAAATGCAATGGTGCAAATGCTTAAACCTAATGGTCTTGTATTGGTTCGAGAGTGCATCTAAACTAGTCCTCAACTATAGCTCGAACTACCCCTTTGAACACATTATCACATTATTAAAAAAGAATGATTGGGAATATATCAACATTGTCCAAGAACTAGACACTTCTAAGGTGACAGTAGTTGGTCGCAAGGGTGAGAGAAGGTTTTTATCCCTTCAAACTTTTAGAATATTACAATAATTATTTGATTACATAAGAGGACTCTTCCAAGACCCACTTACTTGGGGGTTTTCTTCCACTTAGGATAATTTTCTCTCACCAAAGGTTGTTATCCCGTTTAAGAGATTTCCTTCTTGCTTAGTGAAGCTTCCTCTTCTAAAATTCATTTCCCGACTCGAGGGAAATTTATGGTCTTTCCCAAAAATTTATCCACTAGTTCCCAATAAGTAGTCTCTTCGGTAGTATTAAAGTTTTTAATGGTTTCATATAATATGATATATTAAGGTTGTTGCTTGTTTGCCATCTCTAGTTGGCTTCGGAGTGAAGCCCTAATTCTTTGATATCTAGGTTTATTACATTCCAACCCTTGTAACTTCTACTTTTTCAGGCTTTGGGAACTATAATCATACTTCTTCAACTCCACAAATGTTCTAGAATAAGTTATAAAGCATTTCCCAAGGTGTGTATTACCTAATTTCTTTGGACTTTAAATCTTGTAAGAATCCTAAACCTCATGATATAAGGGATGGTTCTGAGGAACCTAACTCTAATACCAATGATAACGACCTGCTTTCTCTGTGGAGAAATGAGTGCTACTCCACACATATAGCCTGATAAATTTACGCAACAATAAACAAAAACTTAAGATTCAATCGTCCATATATGGAATTACAAGATATAAGGCTTATAAGATCTTTTACATTATATCACTATAATATAATTACACTAACTTTACAAGACGAACTTTTACTGTCACTAAAGATTTTTCAAAGTCCTCATTCGACCTTAAACTTACTCTTGATCTGTACTAATCTGCATTGCGGGGTGTAAATTAGGGTGAGCTTCACAGACTCAGTAAGAAAAAGGGGTAGTGCCCACAACAAAGATATACACACACTCAATCACCAAATTTTATAAATCAGTTCATTCAGTAAATATTCATAATTCCTTATTTCAGTATCATAACTCAGGGCATAACAGTTTCATAAATAGTATAATTCGGTATTCAATATCACAATTTAAACAGTAAGCAATTCAGTAGATATTAATTCAGTATTTCATTATTGTAAACTTTACTCATGGCTTTCTATTTCTTTCTCTTAGTTTATATCTTATTAAAAATAGTTTTACCTCGCGATACTGTTTCCGTCGGCATCAACGAGGGCAGTAAGGATCCCCTCTATCCCGTGAATATGTTACATTTCACAGTTCACAATTCTTATTGTTTTGTCACATCTCGCTAAAGCCGCATCCACTAGTAAGGTTCACCACAGTCACACGCCAAAAGGCTACAAACGCACACACCTTTCGATAACCACGTCTGGATTTTCTCATCTTTTAAATATTCTTATACTATTTTTTTACTAATCAGGTTCGTCACTAGATGACCTACTCAAACATGCACCTACTTATATATCATATATATATATATTATATCAACAAACTTACACAACAAACAAAATACATAAACTTTATACACACAGTTATTAACTCAACTAAGTGTATATAAGCACGCAACACATAAAACCTAAATATACTTGTATATTTGG